ATCCTTGCACTTGGGTCCCGGAAGTGAGCGCTGCGGTCAAACCTACCTTTGCTCTCGTGCCACTAAGGAGCCCTTGCCAGAAGCCCCTCAGAAACCTCGGGACCCTGGGAGCATGTGGTCCCAGGGGCTCCGCCTGCCCTCACACCTGCCAGGGCCCCACGAGCTGGACACTCCCCCTGCAACAGTCCCACCGTGCTGGCCTCCGCCTCACCCCCAGCCAGGTGAGGGGTGGGGCCCACCGCAGGGTCTGGTCCCTCCCTGCCCAGGCTCCCCGTCTCCAGGGAACGAGGAGCAGTGTGGGCAGGACGGGCGGCGAGGGGCGGGGGCGGCAGTGCCCACGGACCTTCATGCTGGGGATGATGCGCAGGAACCGGAACACGATGAGCATGTTCACCAGGCGAACCATGTCCCACAGCGACAGGAGGCCCCGCAGCTCCGGCTTCCTGGAGAGACACACGGGAGATGGCGGGTGAGGCCCAGGACGCCAGCAACTGGACACTCACGGTTGAAAACGGAGAAAGGCAGATGTGGAGAGAGTGAGAGGGAGAGCAAGAGAGAGTGAGGGGAGGCAACAAGAACTTGCCCATCTCGGACTCCAGCCAGAACCCTCACCGAGACCGAGGGCAGAGTGGTCACGGACCGTCCACAGCACCGCCCCGCACGGCGCCCGACCAGCTGACTCTCCGTCTTACATGGGACACCTCTGAGGTTCCAGACCCCGGACACTCAGCTCAGGTCCCAGCAGAACTGGGCGACTTGGCCCCTGACTCCATCCCTTACCCCCTAACCCACATTCACATCCCTACCTCCGACCCCTTCCCCAGCCCTGACTCCTATGTATCCGATTCCCTGACCCCTTCCTTTGACCCTATATCCTACCCCTGACCTTGTCCTATCACCTGACCCTGTCTCCTGATCTGACCCTGTCCTGACTCTACCCTAACCCCTAACCACGTCCTATCCCGACCCCTCCCTCCAACCCCATCTCCTGACTCCACCCTGTCCGTCTCCTGACCCTCTCCCTTGCCCACCAGCTCCTGACCTTATCCCCTGAGCCTTAACCACATGCCCTACCCTGACCCCTTCCTCTAACCCATCTCCCAGCCCTTGATCCTGTCCCATCCCCATCCCTTCGTGTCCCTCATGGCCTCACCATGCCCTCATTTCTATTTAAATTTAAACCCACTCTCACCCGGATGTCAGCCCCGTAATTCTCAGACAAAAGGACACATTAGACACAAGGAGAGCTGGCCCCCATGAAGCGCCTGTCACCCCGGGCCCAGCCCCTCAGGCTCCAAGGACAGCGCCAGCCCAGCGACTGCCCGAGATCAACCCTCCCAGCGGCTCCCACAGAGCTGACCCCAAACAGCAAGCCCGTCAGGCCCGCTCTCCACCGAGAGCAATTCCCAGCTGCTCAGCCCGAAGAGGGACCCAGAGACCAGGGCCGCCCGGGGCCCGAGGCCAGCACGTGTGCCTGCCGGGCGGCTGTGTTCTGGGCAGCACGACCCGTGGCTGCCACAGCTACACGGCAGCTTACCTTGGGGCCCTGCCCCCTCACCCCTCTGTGTGGTCAGAACCAGGGGCCCTGGGGCTCCAACAACAGCGTGAGATCGGCGAGCCCCAGGCCCCGCCCGTCGCCGTATGGAGAGTAGACTTTGCCCAGCCCAAAGTCACACGCCTTCCAAGCCAGAGGAGGGCTGCACCCAATGCCAGTGCCCACGTCACCCAGCTCTGAGCTGGGGCCTCCTGCTCTGGCCCAGCACCCCTGGGCCACACGTCTGCCCACGCCAGGGCTGGGCCCACTGCCTTAGAGGGGCACCGACAGCCTCCTGCCAGCGCTCTGGGCACTACGTCCTGACGGTGAGTCAAGAAACGTGAGAGAGGCCCTCAGGGGGCGGGGCCGTGAGCCCCCTTTCCTAACGACCGGGTGTTTCGCCCGCGAGTCCCAGCGGGACGGTGGGCCACCCTTCCCGGTGCTAGCCGGGCGGGTTGCTGTAGCCGCCCTCGGTTCTCCAGTCACATACCAGCCTGGGTGTGGGAATCGGTACACAGCCAGAGTTGAGATCTCCAAAACCTTTAATTACAAAAGAAAAGAAGGCATCGCTACAGCAACGCTAACCCGGGGGGCTCTCGGAAGATCTAAAACTCAGCCGAGCAAGGCGTCCCCACAGGGGGCTTCGGGGAGCATCGGAGCTCGTCCTGTCCCCATGGGTGGGTTCCACATGCTGGGACTTCCCGAGGCTGAGAAAGGCACTGTGGTCTCAGGATCGGGCCACACTCGTGAGGGCGGGACAGGGGAAAGGCTGGACGCGCGGGGGGGGGGGGGAGCGACTTGGTCAAAGACGGCTGGAGGCCTTTCTCAAATGAGCCCCACTGTCCCGAGGGGCCACGGCGCTCAGAGTCACACAGGAACGCGTGTCGCACTATCTCGCTGTGACCCACGGGCGACCCACCC